AGAAAAGAGGTTGCTTCTCTGAAATTTTATCCCATTCCAAAACTGGAAACCCCAACCTTCTCCCCTTGCCCTTGAGAACAAATCTTTGAAGTGATTTGCAAAAATTCTAGCAATCTCCACTTCTACTCTTATTTCTTGCCCCTCCACTTCTACAGTAGAGATTGTATTTTTCCTTTTTATTCCATTTGCAAGTAAGTGGAAGAATTTAGTGTTGACATCCCCTTCTGCAAGCCATTTACACCTAGATTTCTGTCCCCAGTAGATTTCTTCTTTCCTTGGGATTTCTTCCAGGTCTAGATTTTGTCTCATCTTTCCTCCCTATCTTCCTGTATCAATTGACCTTGTGCTTCTTTTCTGTCCAACTCTTAAATCCTTGAAAAAATTCTTTCTTAGGCTTCTAACCTTCAAAATGTTCCTTATTCCACACTTTGGTTCTCTCTTTTAGCCTCTTCACTTTCCTAGAAAAGCTCGCAATTTTTCTTCTCCCAAAAAGTCTATCCTCTCCCCACCATTCCTTGATCTTGTCCTTAAATGAAGGATCTTCCAATCACATATTCTTACCTAAAAGGAGAATGACCACCACTAGATAATTCTTTCTCAAGACTAATGGGACAGTGATCTTAAGTCACTCTAGGCAGAGCTTTAGAAACTAAGTTTCCCTACATTTCTTCACAATCAACCGAGAAAAGGAATCTGTCTAGTTTAGAGTAAAAAGGGGGGATTGAAAGCTTGAACAAATCTGCATGCAATAGGGAAGTTCCTTCAACTCAAGGGAATCTATTAAGCCATTGAAATTCCTCGTGCTAGTAGAGATGCCTTTATTTGGATTGTTGTTTCCCTGAGTATCTTATGACATTAAAGTCACCTCCCAGACACCAAGGGCCCTCCCATAAACCTTTGATTGTAGAAAGCTCCTCCCAAAACAAGTTTCTATCTCTACAGGAATTAGGATCATAGACATTAGTTAAAGCCCATCATCTCCACCAAAGGATCTTTTGACTTTTAAAGAGACTAAGAATTGGCCCACCAAATCCTCCACACATTCCAAGTCTTCATTCCTCCATATTGTTAGAATGCCCCCCGAAACTCCCCAATAGGGGGCATAGACCAACTTAGTCCCATAGCTCCCCAAATGCTTCTATTCCATTTTCTGTCTATTTCTGAAATTTTGGACTCTTGGATCAACAGTGCATCCGGTCTTTCCTTCCTAATAACACTCCTCATTATCCTTATCTTCTTGGCACTTCCTAAACCTCATATTCCAACTTATAATCTTCATTGAGTCAATTTAAAGGCCCCAACTAAAATTCCTTTTTCTTAAGACCTCCCTTTTCTTAATAATCTTAAATCATAAAACAATTTAATCATAATAGCTGAAGAAAATGATAAAAACATAGTAGATGAAAAAGAAATCCAATAATGACAATATTAAGCTCAAAAAATAAAACTGGAGATCAGACATCTAGCTCAAAACTCAAAGTATCACTCTTTTTTCTATTGTTATTTTATTCCAGAAACAAAATAATCTTACTAGATTAGAAGATGAAATAAACAAAGCAAACCATTAAAAAAGAAATTACAGTAATATTAAGCTCAAACATCAAGGTAAGGCCAGAGCTCTGGATAGAAATATCTTCTAATAATCTTTAATCCCTTATTAATGTGCCACAACTGAATATACTCAAATATAGAGGAATTTCTTAATCCATAACCAGAAGCCAGAGAGAGATCTGTCTCAACACAGTTGCTCTAATTTTACCCTGAGTTTGAAGTATCAAACTCACCACTTAGGCTTAATTTTGGTGTCATCAAAAAAATGTTATTCAATTACCTATCAACACAACATAGATCAAACAATCCAGACTTGAATTAAGTTAGCAAGGACCAATTCACATCTATTCCACAATTGAGAGGATTTCTACGAGTTAGTTAAACTTTTAAATTACAAAACTCCTCTACAAACTTGTATTCTCAACTCTACAGTCTCTGCTTAATTTTTTAACTAATTTTTATAAATTTTAAGATTCATTTTAGTATCTTTTGGTTTTAGAAATGGTTATATTTTCAAAATTCAGGTTGAAGTTGTGATAGGAGAAATAAACTTAGAAGGCCATCTCAGGAGTTGCTTAGGAATTACAAGATGTGTTGGAAATGTAGTCAAAATTTCAAATTTTAATTTCTTGGGTGGGTTTAGGAGCAGTTATGGCTTAAAATATTGGGTGGGTCCCCATATCCCCTCTACAATGCTTTCTTCTAATAACAAATCAACCTTCATAACAGCAATAACTAGGCACCTAGGCAGTGTTGGGTTCACTCAGCCCATTAGAGTTTAGACACATGCCTAGGTGACAAGATAACACCCGATTTTCAAGAAGAAAATCGAGATCTCTCAGCTGGCAAGAACAAGAGTTGGATGAGAGCAAGGGGCTTTTCCTGGGTCTGATATTGGATGAGAGGCAAGGCAAGAGGCAAGGGAAATGAGATGAGAAAGGGATTAGGGTCTGATATTGGTGAGATGAATACTTCAAATGGAAATAAAGGAACCCAGGGAGATTCGAGCACTCAATTTTATAAAAGAAAAAAGACCTATAAGACAAGGCTGGTGGAAGATAGACATGAGAGTGGTGACAAGACAAGATAAAAATGACAAATGGAGGAGGTAATGATGGGTGCTACACACCAGATTAACAGAGCAATCAATGTGGAAAAAGTGGTGGCAACAGAGGTTGAGATCAGTAAATCCCAATTCCAGGGATTGCATATGTTGGGTGGTGAGGATTTTGCAAAGAAGATGTTTAAAGAGTTCAAAAAGAGTATCCAATGAAAGTGAATTCTAGATTTAAGAAGGTTAGAAGAAGAGGGAAAAAAAGTCTTGATAAAGATGGGGATAAGGAGGCTGGAGTCAAAACTTTTGAAAAGAATGCAGTGTTGGAGCTAGAGAGAATCAATGACTGCTCTCAAGCTACAAGAGTTTCTAACAGTTTTCCTAGTGCTGTCAACAGACTCAGGAATCAGAAAGATTATTGAACTGTCAAAACTTTAAAAGTTTATCACCAGGTTAAAAGGAGGACCCTTCAGGATTGGGCCTAGTAGGAAGGCAAGAAGTCAAAGAGAACCAACAGGTGCAAAGAAGCTCTGGCTCAAGCAGTTAGGGAAGCTGGTTAATATTTTTGAGTTTTTATATTGTAATTTGGGATCCAAGGGTTTTCAATTTTGTTGGGAGGGTTATAAGGGATTATCTTGTGATTAGTGGAATTATCTTTACAATTAGAATAGGAGGCTATGGGAGGTTGGGTTTTTTTATTTGGGATAAGTATTGTTATCTCTATTGTAATCAGGATTTTTTTTATTTTCTTTTTGTGGATTTTGTGATCCCAGGCATATTAGGGTTGTTCCAAATTGTTATTCTCCCAGGTGACTTCTGGTCACCTTTCTTGCATTTTCTTTTTTCTTTCTTAATAAATTTTGTTTTATTATCACTGATGCATTTTTCTTGGCAATTCTTTCGTTTCTGTAAGTTTAAGAAGCATAAGATGGTTTCCAAATCATCTGCTAAAGCAGAGGTCATGTCATTGGCATGAAGTGAACTTAATTTTGTAGGAGATCTACTAGTGATTTCCACATAAAATCATCTAGTTCTATTCCATTTGTGTGCCAACAACACCAGTGTTATTCAGATTGTTTCTAATCATGTTTTCAATGAGCAGATCAAGCATATTGAGGGTTGTCTGCCTTTTTATTGGGGACCAAAACTTGGCTAGCCACATCTCGCTTTTTGTTTATCAATACTAGCCACATCTCTCTCTCTCTCTCTCTCTCTCTATCAATACTAGCCACATCTCTCTCTCTTTTATGAATACTAGCCACATCTCTCTTCCTCACATAGCCTCTGAACCAACTTGTTGACATCTTTTTTCCATTTTTTTTGGGAGGGGGGAGTGTAGAAAGAATGAAGAATAGTTGCCATTTATTTGATTCACAGCTTCTCTAAATCCACAAACTTATTATATGGTCCTTAAAGGTTAAGTGGTTAACTTGTTATAGTATATAATTAGTCCTATTTTAAAATAGACCTGTTGGGGGTGGGGTAGACTATTTTAGAAACTCCATACATCTAGTGTTTTGTCTTCTGCTCTGCTCTGGTTCTCAAGAGGACAGATGCAGAAAAAACCTATGGCAGATTAGTTCTACCAAGGTTTTCACATCTAATTTTATCAACAAAATCATCCTCAATTGTCATGAGAAAAAAAATGGGCTTGTTTGGAAACAGAAGCTCCAAAAAGAAGATAAAGCACTTCCATTTTTTAATTAAGGACTCACTTACCTTGACTACTTCAAGCATGAAATTGTAATTTTCAGAAAAAAAAAATGGCAAGAGATAAATATACTTTTCATTAAATAAAAACAAAATGGCCCTGTACAACTGGAGGTTGTACATAGGAAATTCACAATAATTCATACAAAAATAATTCCTATACTACCAAACCCCTAGTGTTTACAAAATGGTTTTCATATACAAAAAATGTACTATGATCTTGCTCCCTTAAACCTACTATGGACTGCTACCCAGGAGTGCACCTTGCCCCAAATTTTCTGCCATAAGTCCTCAACTGAACAGCTTTTATTCTGAAATACCCTCAAATTCCTCTCATGCCATATGACCCAAAAAACAGCCCCTAGAATCATGTCCCAACTCATTTTCAAAAATATTTCAGATTTCTCTTCTGCTTTCTCAGCACAAGGTTACAGTCCAAGAGCTGTAGTTTGTAGTAACTAAAGGAATTTCAGGGTCAGTTGAAACCTGAGAAAGCATTGGTCATACATTTTTATTGGTAAAGCATTGACTATACATTATTGGCTTTTCTTTTGGTGTATATACTCATTTTGACATGCGATGCTCTTTCTAATATATTCACAGGGTGAAAACAAACAAGAGGTGAAATAACTCAAAAAAAAAAACAAAAGTATGCCATAGTACATAATTGCACACAAAGACTTACCACCCAAGGTGTACGTCGATGACCAGTCAACACTTTTAAGCATCTTCCAGTTTGGCAATCAATTATTTTTACAGTATGATCACCACTGTGGAACAGAAATAGCATAGAGTTCATCTTACAAAGAAATAGTGTACATGAACCAAGAGAAACAAAACCAAGTCAGATCAGCTTACTGTGTAGATGCAAGTGTTCTTCCATCAGGACTAAACGCTGCTGCAATAGTTGACCTTGGAGGCGGAACCAGAGGGCAATAGTTGGCTGATAAATGCCGTAAAGATTCCGCCTCTACCCTGAAAAAATAACAAATATGGCAGAAAAGAAACAATTTATTTTAGAACTAAAATATTCAAAAATAGAAAATATTCACCTATAAATTAATGTGTTCCCTCTTACATTTAAGTAATTAACCTGCAAACCAAATAATTCAACTACAGAAGAGAAACATTCATTTTTTTTCCTGTAGATACTAGGTACCTATCTTTATGCAAAATAGAAGGAAATCCAATAATCACAGTTTGTCACAGTTTGTCCCGAATTATATGAGAGAGAGAGAGAGAGATCTCCAAGGAAATACAAAAAGTATTTTTACCATGAAATAAGACCATGTCTTGCATCTGTCACATCACGCTTTGGACCAGAAGAATCACTGGTGCATTTAGAAGGTTCTCCCCATAGCTTTTTTGATGAGTGTTTTGCACGCGGAGAAATCTCCCTCTGTGCTAACAACCAACATACATTGCTACCACTGACAAAAGATGAAATAGAATTGATTCAACAGAAGCACCATTAAAAAATATTCAAAAGGTTAATTTGAAGAGTAAGATGCTACAAGGTACTAATGATTGTACAGAAAATGGAGAGAACACATTGCTTAATGTTGAACCTGTAATAGATTGTAAGCAATATATTAAGATTTCATGATATTTCTGACCTATTGGGCCTCAAGATCAAATGGTTCTACCCTATATCTGCTGCTGAACAAGAACTTGAAAGTTATCATCTCTCAATAATCAGCACAACAAGAATTAGTAAAAAGTGAGGATTGCTGAATTAGCCAATAACTTGGCTTCAAGATGACAAGATCCCAAAATCGAGGTCCAAAGTCTGACAGTTAACTGTACTGCCTATAAAATGGTTTGTAAGTTCACAACTTGTTCATGCCACTAAAACATTATGCAAGAATGTGTCAGTAAAAGTCTGATTCCAGAATTGCTCAAGTTCTGATGCTGAAGATAATAATGTGGTGATTCATTGACAAGGATGGTTCAAGGTGAGAATGCAGTCCATTGCCAACAACCAATCAAATGCCCCCACTAGGTTGGAACAGGTATCCACACACTGCTGAAATCGGAATTGTTAACCTACTCTAGTAATATCCTCATAGAAAGATTTGACTGAATTTTCCATTTCTGCATTCTTTCTACTACATTTCGTCTGATTCTAGTGAATCAAATCTTCAAAACTACGAGTTTGTTAATTAGATCAGAGCATTCAAACTCTATCCAATAATGATCTTCTAAAAATGGGAAACCAAATAATCTCATATCCTCTTTTCTTGAATCACTAACTATTATTCCTCCACAAAGCCTCACTGCCTCACTTTTTTTACCAAATCTCCAAAACCAGTTCTCCAACAATACTGTATTAAATTCCATATGCCTTTGTTTTTTTATCAATAACCAGAAATTTTCATTAATTAATGAAAAAGATATAAATGATCACCTCAGAGAGAGATAAACTCTCTTAGCTCTCTCCAAGATGACAGAAGAGTACAGAAATTACAGTACAGCACAGAGAAGTTGATCCCTTCCCACCCCTTGCTTTGCCAAAGCATTTGCACTCCTTTTAACCCACCACGACTTGATCTCTATATTTTGTGTTGAACATTTGAATTTCCTCCTTTCATTGACAAAGTTCCACCAACCAACCACTTCTTTTTGCAGCCAGTTTACTACCAACTTTGAATCCCCTTCTATGATCAATCTTCTGATGTTCAGCTCATTCACTTTTTGGATTCCTTCCATCACAGCCATGATTTCTGCCCTCAAAGAGTCTCCCACATCTATTGGCCCCAAGTAGAGAGCAATAATTCCTCCCTCATTCTAAAAAACACCCGCAACACCTGAAGGGCCCAGATTTCCCTCACCACTACCATCGAAATTCAGCTTAATAAAAAACTCACTAGGAGGGAACCAAACCAGCCTGATAACAGTTTTTCAAAGAGAAAAATCAACCACCTCCTTCCACTTCCTAAGCAAGTCATCTGTGGAAATATCATCAAAACTGCTCAAGGAATTAACCCAATGGATCACTCTGATGGTAATTGCTTCAATAATTGCTTCTTTGCTCCTTTCCTTGCCTGAAAAAAAATTCTTTGATTCCTTTCTTCCCATATTGTCCAGCATACTACCACCCTTGTGCACCTCCATAGAATTCTCCCCCTTCTCTTCCTCCAGTTGACAAATGAAGAACCGGACAAGCCTTGTACATTTGACGTGGGTTCCACCTACACCCATACTTCTTGGGCCTACAAGTCTCATCTTGGCTAACCAAACAAGCCTTGTAAATACTTGCACCCCCAATTAAAGCATAGTGCTCAGAATGTCCACCACCAAAACAAACAAAAATGGTAGAAGAGGATCTCCTTGCTTAATGTCACATGGTATTTTAAAAAACTCAGCAGATGATCTGTTTACCAACAACTGGGAAGGAAACAGAAGAGATGCAAGAAACAATCAAGCCTCCACTTTTCGCCAAACCCCATTATCCCCATAACTTCCTGCAATAACCCCCACTACACATGATCATATGCCTTCTTCTCATCATCATCATCCATGCCTTATATGGGGTTGGCTATATGCCTTCTCTAAATCAATTGTGCAAATTAATCCCAGCACCCCACTTTTAAGCCTAGCATCCACACCATAGTTTCTAAGGCGCCAAGGCGAGGCTAGGCGACAGGGGGGCGCCTTGTCGACTACTAGGCGGATGCCTAGGCAACGCCTAGGCAATGGATTTTTTTTAAGTAAAACCATATATCCTAGGGTAGTTCCCTAGGTTCCATAACCATCTTTCCTTAATAATTATCCATAATTTTCATAAGAGAAGTATAAATTTCATGTTTAAGTTTAGAAAATCAACATTTTATGAGAAGAAAAGGAACAAAGAAAAGATAATTCAAAAAATATAGGGGCTGAACCACTACTTTTGTTATAGGAAAACAAGAAAAGAAAAGGTGGAAGAAGAAGAAGATTTGTAAGAAGAAAATGTGTTGATTAGACAACATTTTAAGTTCTTCCCTTGCTTATTGGTTCAGGTTCTGAAATCTTTGAGGATTCAATCAAGGATCAAAACTTGATTGTATTGTATCATTTTTTTATCAATAGTATTGCATTGTATCTTTGGCGCCCCAATACACATGTTTACAGGTGTTTTCAGGAACCCATTTTTTAAAATAATATATATATATATTTAAAAATAAAATTGAAAACCAAAGAAATAAAAAAAATAGGTGGAGTATCGTACTATCATTATAAGTACCGATACACAAAGGTGTATCGATACTTTGAACCATGGGTTCAAAACAGCAGTTAGCAATGTTTGTGTTGATTAAACCCTAACAAATAAGAAAATAATAAAAGAAATTAGTACATAAACACATAAAATGAGTATTCTAGTTTAATAATGCCTGTTTTATAATTATAATGTCAAAAAATTAAAAATAGAAAAGTATTTTATAACATAGTGCACAAAACTACTTGGCGACTGGGCGAGGTGAGCCTCCAAGGGCGCCTCGTCGCCTAGGCGTCGCCTTGACAACTATGATCCACACATCACTTGCAATTGGCACCCCATCTAAAATTTGTCTCCTTTTTTTATCAGTAAAATGAGTTATATTTTATCAGCAAAATCTGTCTCCCCTCATTCTTTTTCCCATAAATCAATAAAGACTATTTTTTAAGATAAATAAATCAATGAAGACTTATTAGTTAATGATAAAAAGAGACATAGATGGGTTTATTAAAATTAAAAATTAAAATAATAAGAAACAGAAGGGAAGAAGGAAAAAAATGATTCTCACCTGTGACATGAGGTAGAATGGCCTGGAACTTGGGGAAATACAGGCTGTGATGAGGAAAAGGCTGATGTTGAAGGCACATTTCCATCATCTAACCAGGACCTCATCATTTCTTTCTTTAAACCTCATGCTCCTAAGATAACATACATCGATAAAATCCAAACATGAATAGATTCATTTCCATAAAAGTAGAAAATAAACAACAAGCATAAGAAAGTTTTTCATTAATGAAATAAAGAATATCTGTGAAAGGATCTCCAAACAGAGAATGCACATACCTTATTCAACCAAAGGGCTATTCCACCTAAATAAACAACCCATTAAATCAATCATTGATCTGCTGAAGCCAGAAACAAGAATGCATCGATAACCAAAGGGCTATTCCAATTCGATGTTAATTTGGAAAAATAAATTCATCTCAGTCAACATAATCCAAAACTATAATAACTAAAACATAGTTGGAGGGTAAACGACTTCCATGGACCAACAACTTCAAAAATATTAATTATGTAGTAGTTCATTAACTATATAAATCCTCCATAGTGTGCAGGTTAGTTTTGACTACAGAAGACCTGAAGCATACAGAAGATAAGTTAAAAGTCCTTCATAAAATAAACAAAAAGATGAATGTGTTATAAACATTACGACTTTCCCATCAAATAGAGATAATTCTATCTTCTATGCAATCCTCAAATTGTTTCCTATAAGGAAATACATACACCGAATACACCACGTAGACATTCCTCAATCTATCTGGCGACCCCAGAATCCAGAATTCACAATTTTAACAATTAATACAAGCGACGGCCACAAATACGTGAATATGTCAAAATCTGCGAAATTGATAATTGATCAACTTGCTTAAGGGAATTTCAATTTTCCAATCTAACCAGGCCTAAATGGTTCAGCTCTCAACCACATCACACACTGCGACATCTGCAAACCTAAAACCTATGGCCTGAATCTATAGCTTCCATGTCGTCTAGAAAATCGAACCATCATACAGCAGTACAGTGATAAAGAATGAGGACCCATTATCACCAGGAAAACGATTGAAGAAAAGAAAATTAATTAAGAAATAAATTTGAATCGACTTTCCCTTTGGGAGGGTGAGGAGGGAACGAAAACCACATGTCGAATCCTACTCTACTGAAGAAATCACAGATTTGGTATTCATGGAATTAAAAGAACAAAAGCAATAATGAAGCAGAGAAGAAAAATTTTACCTTTTTAAATTACGGGTTTCTCTCCTTATCTGCTCTTCTTCTGACGCTGCTTCTTCGGATTGTAATTCGACTCTGGTCGGTTTTCGGCAGCCTCAGTCGATGGAACGAGAAGAAGAAAAGAGAAGCCAACAGAGAATTTACTAGGGTTTCATGTTTTCTTTCTTCTAAGCTCTTCCCATCGAGGAGGAGAACTGGAGGAAGGAGAAAGACCAGAGAGAGAGAGAGAGGTGGGGTTTATTTTTGCTTCTGTTTTGAGGCTGTTCAGTCTTTTAGTTTTAGGTATCTGGTAAACATCGTATACAACTGGATGAGGCGATGCGAGGTTTTTACGTGGCCAGTTCCTCTGTACGACGTCCGATTGGAATATGTTACGATTGTCACAAGGTAGTCTACACTCAGCCAGCAATAGTCGATCAGCTCTCACATGATGTTATGATAAATAGAGAAAGATACCCGGTTTCTCCATGTTGCCGTCAATCTAGACCGTCCGTTGAAATATAGGTGACGTGCAAACGGTATTCAAATATCTCATTTGGAATTTGATATTCTACCTAATCCAATCGAATTCTGATAATTTGAATATTTAATCGTCGAATTTGAATATTCATTCTAAATAGTTAATGGGATTCGAATTCGGATATGATCTGACTTGATAAATATTCGAATTCAACCAACTATTTAATTCTTATATATAATATATAAAATATTTTATATAATTTATATATAATAATTAAGTTATATAAATAATTTATATATTTATATACTTTATATCAATCAAATATTCATTTTATATATTTATTAATTATCTAAAATAATTAATTAATCAAATTCGAATCAAATCGAATATTTGAATATTTAATCGGATTCGAATTCGGATGTCAATCTTCAATATCCGTCGGATATCAAATCAAATTCGGATATCGAATTTTTTTTAAATCGAATTCAAATTCAAATATTGCTTGATCCGATTCGAATTCGATCTGTTTACACCCCTAGCAATAACATCTTTGTGATCTTATGATGATTGTAACCAAAAATCTATACTATCTAACTTTTGTACTAATACAAATGGATGGAAGTGCAAATAGAGTGTTGCAAATTTTCGTTTATATTTACTTCCATTTTTACTTTTTTTACTATAGTTGTTATTTTATTTGGTCTACATGCAAAAATCCAAAACAATGTGAAATCCATAGTAAAATTAGACCAAATTTTGGACTTAACTTATTTGTATTCCTATACTTTTCCATCAAAGCAAATGAAATTTCACCACAAGCAGATCAAATTTTGCTTTCTCTTTTTGGTAGCTACGAGAACATTTAATTCATTTAAATAAAAGAGGTTATATTTTCATACTTCTCCTTCCTACTAGTAAATCTTACATACTTCAATTTAAAAAATAGTTTTTTTTTGTTACTATATGAGTCGAAATATTATTATCAAAGCGCAACATATGTAAGTTGATAAGTGACAGGTTTGTCGAAGCCCTCAAAATTAATACTAGTCCCACAATAAAATATTTGTAGTAAAAGTGGTTATAGGTCGAATCCCACAGGGAGCAAAATCAATAATCTCTTAGCCGAATGGGCAATGTAATTGAGTGAGAGAATTTAAATACTGAAATTAAAAGAAAATAAAATAAATAGCAACTTAAAACAAGAGAAAATCAGTCTTACCAAATTCTGGTTCAAGGGTTCGGGTTGAATCGATTGGCCATTGATCCTAGGTACATTTCAGCATCCTTGCAATTCAAGCATTTAACCTTAGATTTATTATGATAGCCATAATAAACCTTGTGTTTTCCTAATTCAGTTGACCAAACCCAGCATTCGATCAACACTTATCACCACTTAACTGGGTACGATAGCGTCCATATTAAATAGTGATAGCATTAAGATTTGTGAAAACAGTTAAACCAAAATAACAATAATTGAGATAGCTRCAATTACTRAATYTTRTTCMATCGATTCCTTTAGGTTGAATCATGTTAAAACATTGGTCAAAGGCTGTCACGAACAATTGACCCAAAAAGATATCAACCTGCATACATACATACATATGTATATATATCAATGTTTAGACCATTGTTGATCAAGATAGTTAAACTGTCCAATCCAATAAGAGGTATCAATTATAATTTCATTTGTATGGCATAATATTATAGAAAAAAATAATTAAAATTATTCATAAATCATTGACTTGGCTATACAAAAAAAAAAAGTGATACCAAACCTCCCTCTGAATATTTGATACATAACTAATTGATTGGTTACAATTTTTTCCAATATCATAGTCAAACTTTAAAAATAGAAATTATGTTTATGTCATGCAGGCTAAAACTAAAACCCTTAAAACATTGGGTTTTTTTCATTTTTTTTTTTGCATTCCTATATTTTCTTAAACATTTCCATCATTTTAAATATGTAATAGTTTTTTAATATTTCTTCAACATTTTTTAGTTTTCCCTATTCTAATCTAAGTGGTTCAACTACTAACTCATGACTTGAAGGCAATGGTTCCTTTTGCAAGTCACTTTTTTAAACATTGGTATATAAATAACTAGTAAAGTCAAATTTAATACACCTTCATATTGAATCCGGTTTGAATTAAATAAAACTTATACGAATTTGATCCATTGACATCCCTATTCCAAATTTAAGTTGCCCCATTAAAAATATAATATAAGTCTAGGGGCATATCTTTTTTGTGGCTTCCATAGGATTGAATTACTACTATCCATTCAAGTGAACTTTTGTTCTTTAATGTCGTTTTTTATGTTTAAATATCTTTTATCGCTACAATTTTACAATGATTGTTATTGTAGTTAATGTAATTAGCAATGTTTGGGATATAATTTGCAACAATTGCAAAATACCTGTTTTTAATACATTGGTTTAACAACAACACTAACTAATTATTGCTAAAATATTACTTTTGACAACAATCACAATTGCCAAAGGTCATTTTTCTTGTAGTGGTTAAGAAACATTTAGGATAGTATTGTGGTGGAAGGTTGAAATTACTTGATTAATTTTGGGAAGTGGTTTAGAGCATTGTTGTAAAGTTTTGTGGATATTTAGGTAGTGCCACAAACAACACTTCTCTTTGGCTTATATAGACATATAAGTTGTGTTTGAATTACCAATATGGCTTGGTTTGTGTATTGGTAAATGACTTACTTGGGTAAATGCACTTATCCATGCAAGTGGTTTTTTGAAACACTTACATGGATAATAACACTTATCAATGTTCTTTTATTCCCTAGGCAAAGGTGTACAATGATTAATTTATCCAAAAATTGACATTATTGAATGAACAATATCATCTCATCACATATTGTATATGTTTGGCATCGATGGATATACAACACCTTTTTCTTAGAAAACGGTGTTGTATATGTGTGGGTTGGAAGTACTGTTTTCTCAGAAAACGGTATCCTTTTTTTGTTGGAAACATTACTATCAGGTAGGACATTTCCTAGGGCAACAACACCTTCTATTTGGTACCAGTGCTCCATATCTGTTTTCAGCACTAGTACCCATTATAGGAAGTCCACATCCCTGCCACATCATGTCATCATTGGCAACAATGAGCTCCGAATTGAGAAAACATCGAATTCAGCGTTTCCCCAGACCACGCCTTCTCAATTTCAAGGTGTGGTTTGGAGCACTATTTTATGGAAGAATGGTTTCAAACATGTTATCGTTTTTTGGAACACCGATTTTTCCAACGTGGCGTTGATGTGTCACCATTTTTTTGAGCAACAACAACCATGCCAAACACCGCCATTAGCGATTTTTGGCATGCATGGGTAAGTGATTTACCTAAGTCTAAGGAGAGTATTAATTCCCAAGATAAATGAGCCATTTGAGAATCGTTCTTTCCGTAGGACCCATTAAGGGCATGTTCGTTTCCTCTTAACTCTTATCTGTTAAGACAAATCTTTTAACTTTAAGAGAAAAATGATTGTTCATTTTCTCTTATCTCTTATCTTTTAAAGTGCAATCGTACAACTTTTTGTTTTCCAATGATACCCCCAAAAAGACAAACAAAAACTCTCATATATGGGGTTAAAATGAATATTTAATAATTTTCAAAATTCAGAATATTCTTCACATTCAGAATTCAGAGTAAAGAATAGTTCACCAATACTAATATACCTCTTAATGTAATTATTGCACTTCCAGATGTCAGACTTCAGAGAAAACGAACAAATTGTAATATTGGAAAATGAACACAAGTTTATTTATTTTATTTGGGACTTATTGATGAGACTGAAAGGAACCCTATTTTTGTCCCCTAATTTTCATCTTTTTACATTATTTTAGCACTTAAATGAACTCATTACTCATGTATTTCGATCCAGGGCAATAAAGAGGCAATTGGAATAAAACAGGGCAAATCGGGTGATTTTGCACAGTTTCGGCGACAGTCAGTAATTTGGGCCTAACTCTCAATTACGGACACCGAATTAGACAATTCAAGAAGCATTAGAAAGATAAAAGGAAGGCCCACAACTTTTATGTTTTGGGTTTTGACAGATTCGGCCCGCATCGAGTACAAAAATGAGCCTGAAGTCGGACCAAGTTCGCAGCCCGGCCCATTTCACAACTTAAGCCCAACTCGCAGAAGTACCTTGAAGCAGCCCAAGTTTTAAAGCAGCCCAACTCGAATCCAAGAGTTAAGAGTCCRAATTTCGAATGTAATCTCCAAGGAGAGAGTCTTATCAGATATAAAGTCTTGAATGTAATCTTAGAGAGATAAGAAGATTGAGATTAGAGCATTAGATAAGAGATAGGATAGGATTAGTTCAAAGAAGATCAAGACTCCCTAAAGATAAGATGATCTCCTAGAAGGAGTTGGAAAACAGCCATCTCCTTTGGCTATATAAAGAGGGGGGCGAACCAGCTC